AAATACTGTAATGAACTTTGATCCATCAGATATCATATGGGAAACAATGGTTTTCAAGGTTTTGACTAGCCCTAAGTATTTTCTGTTTTCTGTATGAAAAGATATGGCATAGATAGATCTACTGAAATACTTTGGATTCTAAATACTGATCTAGACCCTTTGTGATTTTAAGTTCTATTTGTGACTACCTACTGCAACTTCTTATACTTGTTCAACTTTTTGGTTCTCCCATGGCTCTAAAAGATGATGACATACCAACACTGTATTTGTGTGTTTTGTAAACTGGCTGCACACAGCTGGGGGAGTTTTGGAAGCGGATCTCTGACAGAAAAGCAGAGGGCTTGGGTTCATTGATTCTCTTGACATAACCCACACACAGCTTATTTGTGTATCATATAAACTACCTGATAAGTCAGCTCTTAAAGATTTAAAATAAAAAGGCAGAAAGAGGATGGGGCAAGTGACAGTTTTAAAACCCAGCAGGCACAGGGAGGGGAAGGAAAGGGTTTGGAGGGAACAAGAAAGAAAAAAACAGTTACCGGTAGGTACAGAAACATACAAATTACTGTACTGGCACAGACACGTGCTTTATGTCTAGTATGATGTCTCCAACAGTGGCCAGAAATGGATATTTCAGAAGGTGCCCACAGTAGTCAGATGTGGAATAATCTGCCCCTAGTGAAGGATTAGTTCAATCCTAAAGCAGATGGTTTACATCCCTTCCAAAAAGAAATCAGTATTAGCCATTGTAACGCTGGATAGACTTATTATCTTTATAAATGCCTAGTCCCTTTTTGATTCTTGCTAAATTTTTGGCAATGACTTTTCCAGGCCCATATTATTGATTGTATTTTTTAAAATCAGCTTTGAAGTTAACACCTTTCAATTTCAGTGAAAGCCCACTTGTTCTTATTTCATGAGGTAAGAAGACTATTTTCAGAGATATTTCCTGATCGGAGTGTTGTGAGCAAGACACGAGAAGTCATTCTTCCACTCTACTCTGCACTGATTAGGCCTCAGCTAGAATATTGTTTCCAGTTCTGGGCACCACATTTCACGAAAGTTGTGGAAAAATTGGAGACAGTCCAGAGAAGATCAACAAAAATGATTAAAGGTCGAGAGAACATGACGTATGAGGGAAGACTGAAGGAATTGGGCTTGCTTAGTTTAGAAAAGAGAAGACAGAGAGAGGACGTAATTGTAGTTTTCAAGTATCGAAAAGGATGTTATAAGGAGGAGGGAGAAAAATTGTTCTCCTGGCCTCTGAGGATAGGACAAGAAGCAATGGGCTTCAACTGCTGCAAGGGGGATTTAGATTGGACATTAGGAAAAACTTCCTAACTGTCAGGGTGGTTAAACACTGGAATAAATTGCCTAGGGGATTGTGGAATCTCCATCATTGGAGATATTTAAGAGCAGGTTAGACAGACACCTGTGAGGGATGATTTAGACAATGCTTGGTCCTGCCATGAGGGCAGAGGACTGGACTTGATGACCTCTCGAGCTCCCTCCCAGTGCTATGATTCTATGATACCCTACACCATTTTGCAATAAAACAATGCAGACCACATCCTCAAGATACACATACCTCCCTTTCTGTTACAGGCAGTCCCCGGGTTACTTACAAGATAGGGACTGTAGGTTTGTACTTAAATTGAATTTGTACTTAAGTCGAAACTGGTGTCCAGATTCAGCCGCTGCTGAAACTGACCAGCGGCTGACTAAAGGAAGCCCGAGGCAGAGTTGCTCTGCCCCAGGCTTCCTGGAATCAGCCGCTGATCAGTTTCAGCAGCAGCTGACTTGGGGACGCCTGGGTTTCTTAAGTTGAATCTGTTTGTAAGTCAGAACTGGCATCCAGATTCAGCTGCGGTTGAAACTGATTAGTTTCAGCAGCAGCTGACGCCAGTTCCAACTTACATACAGATTCAACTTAAGAACAAACCTACAGTCCCTATCTTGTATGTAACCCGGGGACTGCCTGTATAGCATATTTGGGTAAAATTTCAGAAATTCTTAAAACCCATTTTGGAAGGTGCTGTAAGCATAAGAGTATAAATCCCACTGAAAGTTAATGAAACCTAGCCTCTAAAGGGCCAGATTTACAAGTTTATTTAGGCACTTTAAAAATTCAGATTTCTACTGGTATTTTAAAAATGCTTCTAAGGAAGATAGGCACTCAATTCCCTTTGATAGGCAAAGGCAGTTAGACACACAACTCACTTAAATGCTTTTAATAATCTCAAGAGATACCTTTCTGCTTTTTTTAGGGCATATAAGTACCTTTAAAAATCTATGTCATGTAGGGACTTCTGAAAATGTTACCCTGTATTTCTTACCCACAGACATCAAGGAAATGTATTTTCATGGAATGCGATAGATAAACATGAGCTAAGTTTTTTCATGAAGGCAAATTCAGTAACAAACCCTTAAATGACACTTAGGTAATAATTATTAAAAGGGAATGCAAAAGGCCATTATTTAGTTACCAAAGCAATGTGGAGAAGGGGTGTGGAGGAGTAGAGTACTATGAAGGAATCTTATTTATGGCTGGAAGAGTCCTTTTTAAATGTCATCAGTCTTGCTTTCCTATTTCTTGTCCTATGTTCCTTTCATGCATGGGTCA